TTATTTTTTAAGCACATCTTTGTATTTCCCAGCTCACTGTGGCACTGAACTGAACTATAAGACTCAATCCTCCATGCAATGATTGTTCCAGAAGGAGGCTAGTGAACAGCCCTTGAACAGCACCTGCTATGCTCCAGGCCCTATCATGCACGTTGAATTCCGGCAACAACAGATAAGGAAACTGAGGCTTCACTAACTTGGGCTCCTGACTTGACCAAGGTCACACAGGAGGGGAACAGCATAGCTAGGATACAAACTCAAAAAAAACCAGTTTCTTTTCCCTTCCTCTCTTCCTTGAATATTTAACTCCATGATTTTCAGCATCTTCAGCCACACTCAAATGACATCATCCACTCTGATCCCAAACGGATAATCCCCTCCCTGACAAGACACATCCATGTGCCCTGTACAGCTACTGTCATCCATCATGTCAACTCTCAGTCCCTAGACTCTTCCTTTTCCATTGGTGTCTTTTGGTTTCCCTTGCTTCCCCACTCAATCCACCCCAAGAGTCTGTCATCTCAATAATGTTTTAAGCCACTTCCACCACTCCCACCCGCTCATGTTCCAGTGAGAGACGCCCCAGGATACAGACTGTTTTCTGCAGGGTTGGTCTCATCATAGAACTATGCTGTGTAACCTCCCCTGAGACCTCAAAATCATTCACGTATATTTTCATGTTTTGTACATAGACCGTGTATCCCGGCACTTTTGCTGTGATCCCCTCCCGCTTCTGTTTCACTCTTCCCATTGGTAGAGAGGGCTATACCTGAGGAAAGACCAAGAGGACAAGGGTCAGAAGGGGAAGAGGTCGGAAGATTAGGAGAGGTTGCCCCTGCTGGGCAAGAGTGGGCTTTGCCAGAGAAGGCTGCAGGGGGTCCCAGGGGAGAAGAGGGGGCTCCGAGGAGAGCCAGATTCCCAGGAATCCGCTCCAGGCTTTAGCGCTGAAAATCCTGGGCAGCCCTGTGCTCCTCACACTCGTCTTTTCTTCCTTTGTCCCTGAACAATAACCCCTTGAGGGCAAACCCAACTAAAAGCAAGTATTGGCTTGGCCAAAAAGTCTGTTTAGTTTTTTCTATAAACTAAAAGACACATTTTTCATTTTTACCAATAATTTTATTGATTTGGATATTTTGAGTATGTCAACTATATCCCACATGATATAATGTTGACTGTTCTCAATTAATGTGTCAATTTAATCACTGTCAACTTTAACTGGTCTAACCGACTATGGAGAATTGTCCAGGGAGAAACCTCCAGCAGGAAACTTTGTAAACCACTTTTGACCCACTCAATCAGTCATATTACCTTCCCCATACACTGTCCAAATCTTTTCTGGTGTTTCAGTTGTATTTTTACCCTTCTTGAAATAAAGCTTAATATGCTGAAAGGTTGCATATTTTCTTCCATCTTCAATATTAAGATGGCTACACAAAAATTCACCAACTTTAACGTTTGGTTTTTTTCAGTGCAGGCTGATGTGACAGCTGTCACCATACAATCTAAGAAAATTGTTTCGAATGAAGTTAAAGACAACTAAATGCTCCTGGAGTCATCTTACGGAAAAAATCAAAAGAACTTTTTGGACAACCCAATACATAAAAGTGCCACAGCCTTCTTTGACACTTCCAGCCTGGCCTGAGCCCACAGAACCCCTCCCCAACTCAACATTGGACTGGCCTGCCCAGGGCCTCCAAATGCGGCAGGAGGCAGGAGCACCTCCTGAGAAATTCCCAGTCTTGAGAGGTTCAGACTGGGTCCTGCCCCCAACCCGCATCATCTCACCTGCCTCCACAGCTCACCTAACCGTACTGTTGGTCCCCTAGTCTCACCCTGTACCCTCTCTTCATTACTGTTTAAATCAAAATCGTTCCCAGTGGCCCTTAGGGTCCTCCTGTGGGAGGCCCCCTCAGTGGAGGTCCACTGAGGGGTGCTGGAGGGAGCCTCTCAGGCCGTCCTGTCACCCACCTTGCTGCCTCCAACCCTCCCCAATTTAGGGACCTCTCACTCCTTTCAACACACCTTTGGAGAAGAGAGTGGGAATAAGCCCCTTCCTGTTTGGACTCTAAACCCCCCTTCACCCCTTAGCTCAGTTGCTATTCTAAACTATTCTCCTCAGAGGTGAGCAAGAAATTTCCAGTCTAAATGATAAAGCAAAGCCTGAAGGACTCCAGACCTCATGATCCTGCCTAATCCTCTAATCTCCCACCATCTAGTTTCCACAGGAACGCTGGCTCCTGCCACCTCAGAGAGAATGTGGGGAGGGGGAAGGAATGAGCTGACCCACCTTTATCAGGATCATCTCTGAGTTTATTCAGTAGTTAAACCTGCCTCTCAGGTTCCCCACTGTCCCTCCGGCAGGACACAGAATGTGGGGGCAGGATGGGAACGGGAGAACCACCTTCCCCCTCTCCAGGTCTCTCCTCTGCTGGGTCTCTGTATCTAAGTGCCTTTGACTTTGTTCTGGAAACTTCTGGCCAGGGGCCCTCTCTCTACCTCCTCCCAGGACCAGCCTCCCAATTGCCCCCCCCCTCTTTCAGCTTGCCTCACACCCCCTACTCTGAGAGCCCCAGTGATGGGGATCTGGGGACAGAAACTCCTCCCTAATGCTCCCTCCCCAGCTCTTCTAAAGGCTCTCGGACAAGGTAAAAAGGCCCTGAACCACAGAGGAATCTGGAAGTGATAGAAAAGGACAGGTTGGTGCCGGAACCGAGGTTGGTATTTGCCCCATGCTGCAAGAGATCAGGAATGTGGCCACTGACATCAGCTACAGGAGATAAGACCTGTTTGGCAGCTTTCCCCCTCCTGCCCCTGGACTGAGCCTCCACAGACCCCTAAAGGTCCTGAGCATCTGGAGTGGGGGAGGGATCAGAAAAGGACCTGCAAAAGACCTTGGATAAGAATCCTGGAATCTGGGCTTGATCCCCAGTGGAATTCAAAATCCCCCAGGGGTTTTCAGTGACGTAGAGAGAGCCCTTACCTACATCGTTGAGCCATCTTTACCGTTAAATTGATCCTGCCTCCCACCTCTGTCCTCCTGGATGTCTTGGAGACTTACTCTGCAATAAGTAATTAATATTTGTTTAATGAATGAGTGAGTGGTAATTAACATTTACATCCACTGCCACCCAAGGAGATAGACTGACTGAACAGGCTTTATTAGTCCCCCTTTTACAGGTGACGAAACTGATATCAGTTAAGTGACCTCCCCAAGGTCATGCAGCTAGCAAAGTACCCAAACTGACTGACTTCAACAGCAAAAACAGCAAAGGCAACCCATCACGTGTTTGGTCTATATACTTTATTGTGCAGTTCTGCACAACACACAATTCTGGAACCCGGCGGGAACTGTGAGGGTGACAGTAGGAGAAATCCCTTTGACTGGGTAGCACCTCTAATCTCCCAGAAAACTTCCCTGTAAAATAAGTGAGCATTCATTTGCAGGCTATTTTGCATCACATTTGCCTTTTTCAGCTTCAGCAGTCCCTACCCTCCTGGGCCCGCGGCTCTCACCCACCCCTGCCCCTGGCCACCTGCTGTTGAGTACAATGGGCTTTCCCCACTAGAAGGTGGAAGTCTTGGGACAATCCAGGGCCAAACTCCCACATCTGAGACGCCCTTCCTCCCTGGCCTGGCTACTCCCAGGCCCCTTTCTTTTCCCAGGCCTCCTCTCCCGCCTGTTCCCACCTCTTCGGTCCAGCTGGCAGCTCAGTAAGAATCAATAGTTGCACTCCAGAGCAAAGAGCACAGACAAGTGTGGAATGCCAGGCTCTGCCGGACAAACAAGATCCAGGTGGTGACAGACTTGAAGACCCAGTACCTCGGGATTTCCCCAGTTCATTCAAGGGGAAGTGACCATTCAGGTTCAGGGGTACAGGGAACAGTGAGAACTTCCCTCTCCCCATCCTATTCACCCATATCCTGACCTAAGCTTCCTAAGGAAGCAGCCCCTGGGGACAGGCTTGGGCTCCAGAGAGCCTTTTGAGGAGAGGCGAAGGAAGGAGGGGCCCAGCAGAAAAGTCCTAGCAAGGGGGCCTGGCCATCAGGGCTGAGTCTGAGCTAGACTGTTTCTAGGTGTGCATGTTTGTCCCCTTGGGCCACATTCCATGGGGGACACATTACAACCTCCGTGAGGGAGTTTGGTCTCTGTTATCACTGCTGTTCTCCCAGCAACTAGAACAGGGCCTGATGCACAGTAGGTATCCAGTAACTATTTGTGAAATGGTAAGTGCTCAGAAACTATTTGTTTACCCAAGGGTGTAGTCAAGGCTGATTCACAGATGTCCAGAAGCGCAGATGTTCTGTGTGTCCTGTTCCAATCACAAAGTATATTCTGTGGAAGAGCCAGGCTTCCCATGTCAGTGGGTTCAGGGAGTGAGTGTGCCTTCAGGAGCCTGAACATATTTGGTGAGTGACATACACATGTATGATACAGGCAGGAGTGTGTGCTAGTGAACACATTCCCGTGGGCTTGTTTGGGACCCAAGTGTGCTGGGGGTCAAATGTGTAAACCAACAGATTTGAGGCTCAAGATTTAATCTCTCTTCCTCTTCTCCAGACCCTACCTTTTCTTGTTCAGGAATCTGGGTGCTCCAAGATCCCCCCAAGATCCCCTAAGCATTGAGACTTGGGCTGCAGGCTGAGAATAGCTATGAAGACTCACACCCCACTCCACTCTTTCATTCCCCCCAAATTCTCAACCGGCCAGCACCTCCTCTACCTAGGGAGGAGTATAATAACGTCATTTCCTGCCCTTGAAATCACAGCAGACAGGGCCAACACCACCTTCTGCCCTTGTCCTTCTAGGTTAGTTACCCCCTTTCTAGGGGGTCGCGGGTGACCTTGGCAGGGTTTGCTGAGAGGGAGGAGGCAGGGTCTGAAACGTAGGCCGCTGTGTCCCCGGCAGCAGTCCACCTGTAGCTCGCGCGCTGCGACACCGGGGACGGGGGCGGGGCCTGCCCGACGGGTCCCCACCTCCTCCCTCAGCCCTATAACTTGAGTCGCGGACTTGGCACTCACTGCAGCTTCAACCTGAGTCTCCGCTAGTCGCCTTCCTCCTGCGTGTTGGCTTCTCGCCTTCCTCCCTAAACAGCATGAGCTTCAGCACACGCTCCAGCTTCTCCACGAGCTACCGGACCCTGGGCTCCGTGCAGTCGGCCAGCCACCGGGTCCGGCCGGTCAGCAGCGCGGCCAGCGTCTATGCAGGCGCCGGGGGCTCGGGCTCCCGGATCTCGGTGTCCCGCTCCACCAGCGTGCGGGGCGGCTGGGGATCCGGAGGCCTGGCTGCAGGGATGGCGGGGGGTCTGGTGGGCATAGGGGGCATCCAGAGCGAGAAGGAGACCATGCAATGCCTGAATGACCGCTTGGCCTCCTACCTGGAGAGGGTGAGAAGCCTAGAGGCTGATAATCGGAGACTGGAGATCAAAATCCGGGAACACCTAGAGAAGAAGGGACCCCAGGTCAAAGACTGGGGGCATTATTTCAAGACCATCGAGGACCTGAGAGCTCAGGTAAGGGGCCATGGAGGGAAGAGCCCAACTCCCAGCCCAGTTTGCCCTCCGCTCAGGACCCCTTCCTCCCCCTCTCCCAAGGATAAGAATTTTTATAAGATAGTGCATATTGACTCCTTCCCCCACTTTGTCTCTCCACTCCGCCTCCTGTTCAGGAAGGGTGTTAGGAATGCCCTGGATTTCTGTACTTACCCCTACCCATTGGGCCCCCAAAGGTGGGGACAGCATCGGTGGGTCCTTTCCCTGGAGATAGTGGGAAGGGGAGGCCAGAGCTTGGGAAATGAACAGCATCGAAGGAGGTGAGACCAAGGCCCATAAAGAGGACCCAGACACAGGCTTCTGGCCAAGTGGGGACATTTGCAGGGTTAAGCGGATGTGGTTAAGGCTGAGTCATACTAAGAGTAAACTGGAGGCCTACCTGGGGAGTGGGGGATGGGGAGGTGAGCAGGTGCCCAAGGAAAAAAATGCCAGGAGAAGGCGAGAGGGAGAGGACCCGTATAGTAGCTGCTCTCTTCCAGCAGGCCAGCCAGCAGAGGCCCCAGAGGAGGCGCAGCAGGACTCTGGTGGGAGCCCATGGATTTGAGACTTCAGGGAAGGAGGGAGGGAGCAGTGTGAGGGGCACAGGTAGAAGTGGACAGCCTCTGGTTATTCCTGGGACAAGAATGTTTTCCCTGAGACATATAATACCTTTACACACTGAGCCCATCCTATCATTGACTTCCCATTCACGGAGCAATCTTTCTTACCAATCCTCAGATCTTTGCACATTCTGTGGACAATGCCCGCATCGTTCTGCAGATTGACAATGCCCGTCTTGCTGCTGATGACTTCAGAGTCAAGTAAGGCTGGGGGGACTAGGGAGCTAGGGGTGGGGCTACGAATGTTCTGATTCATGAGCTAGGTCAGCCAGGGGCTCACAGTGGGATCTTGTTCAACTGTGGGTGGAGCTGGGTGGATGAGAGACTCAGTCAATTTATTCATTCACGCAACCCAGCTTAAGAATACTTAGTGCCAAGAATAGCGCTCAGAGGATTACCATCAGAGTCCTGGCTCAGCTTCTGTTTGCAGTGGGCACAGTGCTGCTCTTAGGTGGCATGAGTTGAAAAAGGTTCTAGATCTGATCACCTCCACTCCCACAGGTATGAGACAGAGCTGGCCATGCGCCAGTCTGTGGAGAATGACATCAATGGGCTCCGAAAGGTCATTGATGACACCAATATCACTCGCATGCAGCTGGAGACAGAGATCGAGACTCTCAAGGAGGAGCTGCTCTTCATGAAGAAGAACCATGAGGAGGCAAGCAGGGGCCAGGAACCAGGGGCCAAGACAAGTCTGGGGGAATGATGGAGCAGGCTACCTGCAAGTAGTCTTGCAGGAAAGTTTAAACTACCAGCCTGGGCTCTTAGTCAGACTGTCGCCATCTTCAGTGGGTAAAATATCTTAACAATGTGATGAAGTCAAGAGGCCATGGGTGAGAGAATGAGATGAGGACAAATGTAGAAGCAGCCAGCGCCAGAAGTGAGGGGTGATGGAGGAGTGAGAGCAGGTGGAGCTGCCAGGGCTTCCCGGAAGAAGGTATAAAGAGCAGGTTTGTGAAAGGAGGGTAGGTAGAGGGAGAGGGTGAAGTGAGGAGAGAAAAATCACTTGCGAGGGACAGACGTGGGCAGTAAGTGGGTTGCATTTTACCCACCCGGAGAAAAAAGCCAAAAGTGCAAAGTCGAGAATTCCCTGTTCTCTTCTCCAACTGATCCGGTAGGCCTGGAAGAAGCAGGCACAGCTGAAGAGCTTTCCTAGAGCTCAACCCTGAGCCCCTCCTCACTTTTTCCCCCTCTCTCCTTCAGGAAGTAAATGGTCTACAAAACCAGATTGCCAACTCTGGGTTGACCGTGGAGTTGGATGCCCCCAAATCTCAGGACCTGGGCAAAATCATGGCGGAACTCCGGGCCCAGTATGAAGAGCTGGCTCGGAAGAACCGAGAGGAGCTAGACAAGTACTGGTCCCAACAGGTACAAGAGGGGAAAATATGGGCACCTGCTGGGCACAGAGGCCCAGGGGGGTGGGAGGGAGGCAGACAGAGAAGGAGAGACCTGAGTATGATATCTCCTGCAGATTGAAGAGAGCACCACAGTGGTCACCACACAGACTGCTGAGATAGGTGCTGCTGAGACGACACTCACAGAGCTGAGACGTACGGTCCAGTCCTTGGAGATTGACCTGGACTCAATGAGAAATCTAGTAAGAGCCCTCATCTCAGCTGCCCCAGCTCCTGGCCCCTTGACCTCTGTCTGCCTCAGATGCATCCTGTCTCAGCCCAAATCCTACCTCTTTCTTTATGAATTCCTTTTGCTCAGAGAGAGTTGTTACTCTGTATTTCCCACTGCTCCTACCTCCCTACCCTAGAAGCTGGCACAAAGTAGTTGCTTAAAAAAGTTGCAAAGAGTGAAGTCCTGAGTTCTGAACTGCTATGCAGGAAGTTGTCAACTCTCCCTCCACTGTACCTCAAGGTTCACCAGACCCTTTGCCCTGTGCTCCCTGCAGAAGGTCAGTTTGGAGAACAGCCTGAGGGAGGTGGAGATGCGCTATGCTATGCAGATGGAACAACTCAATGGGATCCTGCTGCACCTGGAGGCAGAGCTGACCCAGATCCGGGCAGAAGGACAGCGCCAAGCCCAGGAGTATGAGGCCCTGCTGAACATCAAGGTCAAGCTGGAGGCTGAGATTGCCACCTACCGCCACCTACTGGAAAAAGGGGAGGACTTCAGGTAAGTGGGGCTCTCCTACCAACACAAACTAGGGCCAAGATATCAGTTCTCCCCAAATCCTGAGCTTTTGAAAGCCCCACTAAAACACCGAGCTAGTGCTTGTGAGTGTCCCTCTGTCTCCAGGGGAGTAGCAGTTACAGAGGTTCTCTCCTAGAGAAGAGAATGAACTAAGTATTGCCCCTAGCAGTATTTAGAATACAAATGGAATTTGGCCTTGGGTTTCTCTTTTATGGAGGGAGTGGCCAAGGGGAATTTGGAGATGAAGGTGCAGGGATAGGCGTTTTTTCCCCCACTTTCCTCGTCTCCCTTCTCTGTGGGTCTGTTTATAACTGTGATTTGGTCTTCTGTTACAGTCTTTTTGACGCCCTGGACAAGAGCCACTCCTTAGAAACCATCCAAAAGACCACGACCCGCAAGATTGTGGACGGCAAAGTGGTGTCTGAGGTCAACGACACCAAAGTTTTGAGGCATTAAAGGCAGCAAAAGTGGGGCATCCCTTGGCAAGGCAGGATGCCAATAAAAAGTTCAGAGTTCATTAAACGTTCCTTTGCATCTTCATTGGCTATTTTCATATTGTGCAAATCCCCTTTTCCAACAGTCTTATCTCTGATGAAGCAGGAATCACCTCTGACCCCAGGGATTTTATGTAGGTGGGGGAGTGGGCAAAGGAAAGGTCTGGGTTCTTGGAAACCTTCTCAGAGAAACAGGAGGGAAATGGTCAAGGATAGCAAGGGAAAACTACAATAGAATTGTGTAATCTTAGCTTTGGGGCAAAGGGCAAAAGAATGAAAAAGGCTTGACCAGAGGAAACAACTTGCTCTCCCCACCCCTGCCACTCTTCATCCTTGACCCACTGCCCAGTGCTTCCTACCCACAGCCTCTCCCCCTACACCCTTTTTCTTTTTTAATCCCCACCTAGGACATGCTTATTGATTTTAGAAAGAAAAGAAGGGAGGAAGAGAGAGAGAGAAACATTGATGTGAGAGAGAAACATCAGAGGGAGAGAGAAACATCCATCCTGTTGCTTCCTACCCACAGCTTCTCCCCCTGCATCTTTTTCTTTTTAATCCTCACCTAGGATGTGCTTATTGATTTTAGAAAGAAGAGAAGGGAGAGAGAGAAATGTTGATATAGGGGGGAAACATCGATGTGAGAGAGAAACATCAATCCCATATGTGCCCCAGCTGAAGGCAAACTTGCAACCTAGTCATGTGCCCTGACCAGGAATCAAGCCCGAGACCTTTCAGTTCATGGGATGGGGAGATGCTTCAATCAAATGAGCCACAGTGACCAGGGCTCCCCCTAGCCCTCTCACATTCAGCCCCCAAACCTACGGTCCCCATATGTTCTTCCTCACTCAGTTGGGATATGACTTATCGCAGTAGAGGTCTGGCTAGAACTGGAGTAAATGTGATTGTTGTAGGTGAAAGAATATTCCAGTGGCCCCTTTCTAGATAGGGGGTGCCCCTAAGTAAGTACCCACTTAGGTAATAAAAATCACCTTAAAGCTAAATGAAATGTCACAACTCTGCTTTCCATTGGAAGAGTCATCTATTAGAGAAAAAAATAGATATCTAAAACTTCATAGGTTTTGATTGGGATGATCATTTATCTTTTTAAATTAAAATATATAAAAAATAATGCACAAAATCCAAAAGGAGATAAGGAAATAAGATTAAATACTTTTCATCCCACTCCCCAGAGGTAACCATTGTAAAATAGTTTCTTAAACTAGACATACACAAAGACATTTTCCTTTATATTTCTGCATACTGTTCTGCACCTTGATTTCTTAAACGCTGCTTTCTTCGTATCACAATATATCTTGGACACCTTTCTGAAAGAGTACATATAGACCTACCTTTTTTTTCAAACCCAAATGAATAAATTTGGTGTCTCTTCTACCTTCATTTGGAAGCTATATGATATTATATGCCATTTACCAAAAGGAAATTATTAATCCAATATTTGGGGGAAAGCACAGAATCGTGATTATGCATTCTGTCACCTCTCCTGTTTTGGCGACATTTTTAATGACTTTTTTCCTACCCATTGTCCAGTTGAATGTTTGTGTCACACAAATCTCTCAATCTGTAATAAAGAATAATTACTATGTTCCAAATTCTTTCCAGAAATCAAAACCTTGATCTATTGATGTCCATTCATGGTCACCAGACCAATTTGACAAGTGATATCTAGGTCTTTTTTGACCCTTGCCTTGGTAATTTGTCATCCATCTAGTCTGAGAGACATCATACAAAACACGACATCATTTTATATAAAACTCATTATTGTATCTGTATAGGAATGATGTGAGGGTCGTTATTTTAGAAAGACCCTCAGAATAATTTTCTCTCAGGTCTCAGCAACCAAAATTTGGTGGGGAAGAGGCTCGTAATCTCCTGTACATCATACGCCTCATTTCTCTTTCTAACTGCTGCCTTGCACCTGTGTGTGGAGTACAAATGTGCTCAACCCAGGTCTTCTAGTGATGGATATCTTGGTCTTCAGTAGTTTTAGTTTAGCAAAAATGCTGCAATTAATGTTAATTAATATGCAATTAATATTTGTGATTAATAGGTGTGCTACGTGAGCATACAGGATAAGTTCCTAGAAATAGTATGCTGACCTACCATATTAACAAATATTTATGAAGTATCTGTTTTGTACCAGGCTCTGTGCCAGTCACCTAGTGTGCATGTGGTAACCAATACCGATATTGTCCCTACCTCATGGAGCTCACGGTCTAATGGTCAAAAGTATGTGCGTTTTGACTGTCTTTCAGCAAATATTTACTGAGGACCTACTCTATAGCAGCCACTCTTCTAGGCAATAGGGATACATCAGTGAACAAAGCAGACAAAATCCCTCTCCTCATGAAGCTTATATTCTGGTGACAAGAGACAGATAATAAACGATAAGAGTAATATAGCATGCTAGCAGGTGATGAGTGGTATAGCCCAGCACAGAGAAAGCAAAGAGGTTAGTGGGGAGAAGCAGGAAAGTAAAATAGGGATACACAATGATCCAAGGTAATAAATCTTTGACTGAAATGGAAAACTCAGTTTTCCAGGCACATATGAGAGGCAACTGATCAATGTTTCTCTCTCACACTGATGTTTGTCTCCCTCTTTCTCTTTCCCTTCCCTTCACTTTAGAATCAATGGCCATGTCCTCAGGTGAGAATTAAAAAATATATATGTATATATTTTAAAAAAGAAATACAGTGTATTTACTTTGCAATCTCTAACAATATGGGGGTCCTTGGTGGAGAAAAGCTAAAGACTGTGTGAGGCCCACAGGACCACACCAGGACAGGCAGCCCCTGTGAGCAGGGGAGAAGCCCCCGGAGGAACCGGGTGGGAATCTTCATCACTGTAGGGCCCCGAAAGAAGATGGGTCAGGAGGGCCTGCAAAGTGCGCAGAGCAAGAGCCGCCCTTCCTGAGTAAGGTCTGAACACGTGTTACATAAGAGGTTATCTGGGAGCTTCTGTGGGAAAGGGACCCCTGCAGCCTCTGGGTACCTGGATTGTAATACCAGAGCAAAACATTCTACCTGAAAGCAAGGTGCCCTGCTGAAGTGTTGCTCACTTTTCTGAAAACATAACATTCACCTGCCTCCCTTGCTTCTGTTCTCTCTCCAATCCGTATTTCCTCCACCCCGCCCCACAATCTTCACAGGAATCTACAGGAGATGAGTCTTTTGGGAAGATGATTGAGCTTTTCTTTCTGAGATTTGTTTTAGGAAAACATTCCAAGTAGTTTTCCTGCCTTGTCCGCCCTTCTCTTTTCCAAGTGTGTAGGTATAATATGGAATGTGTTGGCTGAGACACACAGGTGCCTGAGAGGTCTGATGAGCGCCCCCAAAGGGCTGCTCCGGCCTGGCTGGCCATCACTGTAATTTAGTCAGGAGGAATCCAGCCTTCATCGGGGCCCCCAAAAGGAAAACTGATGATGGCTCAGCCACCAGATGTGGGGCAGGGGGCAGGCAGGCCCAAGATTAGACTGACCTCAGCAAAGGTGATGGGATGGGGGCCCAACTGAGAGGGAAGCAGAAAGTCCCTGGCAGAGCCTGAGCGGGGCTTGCGGCTGAGTCAGGCTGATTGGAGAAACCTGAGACGACGCACCTGACATAACTATCCCTTCATCAGACAATGTCCCACAGTTCCCAGGGCGCTTATGTATTTGATCCTCATTACAATCCTGTGAGGTATGCAGGGCAGTGGGTATTACTGGCTCTGGCTTGGAGGTAGGCACTGAGATTCAAAGAGATCATGTGACTTCCACTGTGCTAGAAGCTTAAAGCAGGAAACTGCATCCCCAGATTTCCAGTCCAAAGCTCTGTCTTCCATTTTTATAACTTAACCCAGGGGTTTTCAGCCCTGGCTGCAGTTCAAGTCAGCAGGAGTTTTACGAACAATACCAAGGCCCACAACCTATCTCCAGGGATTCTTATTCAATTGTTCTGGGGTGGGGATCCCAGGCTCCCAGAAAATCTTAAAGGGGCTGCTACATGGTGTCAGTAGACAGGCAAGGTTGAGAGTCAGACCCAAGCTGTCTTACATGAAGACTGTAAGGGCCTCACCCAAGGTAGTTAAAACGTGCAGTGGATGCCTCAGGTGCATTAAGTAGGGGGGCAAGTACAAAATCTGACTCTAGAGAAGACACACAAACCAAAAGATTTTGCTAGTTTGTATAGACACAAACTTGAGGAATGTGTATGGGTTGGATCCTAAGGGTGCTAAACCAAAAAGGAAGAAATACAGTTTTAGGTTGGGCTAAATATATTGATACAGGTTTATTTATACAGGTTCAGTGACTCCAAACTCAGTGTGCTGGTCCCAAAGATTTGGATTGATTTTATCTCTTTCTTTCATTGACTGGCTAAAACCTGGACTCAGTAATGGTGCCCAATAAATGAAGCTGAGTTACCAGAAATCTGACTGCATGATTCAGAGGAAGGAATCCAAAGAATTAGGGAGGGGGAAATGTTGAAGCAAATTTATCACGTACGATTCACTCACTTGCCCCTAAATAATTTGTCCAAGAGGCCGTAGGGGATATTCCCTCACTGAGACACTGATAATACACTGGTAAGAGAGGTATTTCTGCTTTTGTTTTTGTTTGCATGCTTTAAAGGATACTTTTAGTAGAACTTATTAATTTCTCTTCACTCAAAGTTGCAAAGATAAAGCAACATGAAATTTTGGCTAAGGGAAGCTGATCTTCAAGAACTTCTGTCTTCACACAAATTTTTACATGTATAACAACTCTTTCCAGCCTAGAGCTACTCAAAGATAAATCATGCAAATAAGAAAAAATTTTTATTTCAAACAGGTTAGGTGGTATGTGTGCTACAGCAAAAGCTAGTTGTAGCAAACAGTTTCATTTCAAACTTGCACTGATATATAAATGAGACATGGTTTGCAAATGATTAATTTCTGGTTGATTCACTCCAACATTACACCAATTTTTACATTTATTGTAGATCCTATTATAGTACTAGAGGTTAAATTTTCATCACCAG